AGGAGGGCCGGGCGCTGTCGCCGACCCCACGGCGCTGCCACCCACGCAGGGGAGTCTGGGCCCCAGTCCCCTCCCGCGCCCGCTGCAGGTGAGACTCCCGCTCCCCGCTGAGTTCTGTTTGGGTTTCCGTGGCGTTTGTTCCCCGCAGGTTTGTTTGTTTTTCTTCAAATTACAGATGCAGGGAAAACCGCCTGACATCATGAGAGCGGGACAAACGCTCACTTTGAAGGATTCCTGGGCAGGACTTCAAGTGAAATCATATGCCTGAGAAGAACTTGATACCGGTCTAGAGAAAATAACCAGTTCTGGGTTTGCCAAACCGTGGAATGTGCAAAATGCTCGACTTTTTTGCAAGAGGCCAAGTGTCCCTTAAAAAGCTCCGTTATGAGTATGAGCCTGGAGGCCGAGGGAGCAAGAAGCTTGTGCCATTGTCGGGTGTGGGAAAGAAGGGCACACGTTGTGCGAGTTTCTGCTCTTGAGCGTTACTGTGTGTGTTTCACTCGGGGAAGAGTACCTGTGACTGTGCATGAACTACCAACCGTGCGTGTGCTCAGCAAGCGCGTGCAGAGGGGAAATGTGTGTATATGGGAACAAAACTTGCTGCTTGCTTATGACTGAAGGCTATCAATCAATCCAACGGCATTAAGAGCAAGACAAAAAAATTATGTGCACAATAAACATTCTTACTCAGTTTAGAATTCACCCAAGACAACTTAATACTTGTCCTCCAGTGATAGGTTCTGGTTAAAGGGTTAAGACTCCTGGGTCCAGCCACCACATTAAATTCTCACTTCTGATACAGAAGTAAGTCACTTCCAAGTGTCCTTTAAATAAGAATGGGTAGCAAAAATAAAATGAAATAAAATGCAACACGAAATAATGGAAAAAACACACAGGTGGCTTTATTTCTATTCTAAAAAAGAATTAGCAGCATCATGTGTATTGGGGTTGGGAAGTTGGAATATAGAAATAGTCTGCAAGCTGAAAATTGTATTTTAATAGTTGTTGTTTTTCACCCTAATTCTCAAAGTAAAACTAGCCACCACCTTGCTTTCATTCATTTGTTTATTTCTCTGAAAATCTAGGGGAAAATATTACCTTCAGCTTAGTATTTAGTATTACTCAATAGAAATGTGGCATTTGCTTTTCTCCAAAGTGTTTTCTCTTATAAGAAAAATGGAGAGAGCAAAACACCAGGAAAAAAAGAGGCAAATGGAAGACTACCTGTTTTTTGAAACTTCTGGTTTTTATATCATCAGAGTTAAGATATAGAGATTACCTTCTCAGCAATGAGGGTCAGCTCCATCCTGATGTACGTCAAGAAATCTGAAATATCAAATAGTCAGACCAAGCTAGTGAACAAGGAGGTTCCTCCATGAACAATTTAGAAAATGGAGGTGGTTTGATGACACACACAGGGAAGAGAATTACCATCTCGATGGTCTCCCTCATCCTTCTAGAGCACTCTCCTCACATTTCTGCCCTGCACACACACACACACACACACACACACACCCCCCACAAATACACCCACACATAATTACTTTCCCATCTCATTATTTGGTAAAAGACTAGCAAAATCCAAAAATTAATTCCCCAAGCTTCCACTAATCTTTTAATATAAATAAATGCTATGGGCTTCCTCTCGTAAACTACGGTTTAAAATATTCGCAATAATAAATGTACAATACTGTTAAGTCAGCATTCTGTGAAGGTGTGTGGGGAGGGAAACAAAAACCTCGGGGAATATAACAACCTCGACCTGAGCTGAGCAAACATGATCTGTTTGCATTCATACTTATTTGCCACAGCCATTGTTTGAATTAGGCAGCAAAATTATTTTCCAGTTTGAAAGCTTTCCTATTTATATTCGAATGCAGTAAACTGGAAGTAAAAGTTATGAACTAAGTGATACAAACTTACCATTTCTGATGATATTAATTATAAAAGCCAGGACTTTCCTGGCCCAGAAATAACCAGAATGAAATAAAAATCAAGCACCATTTGTAGCCTATTGTTTTACTTAACTTTATCAGATTTTGTATACATAATGTAATGGGGAAAAATTCTGTGTAATTTTGGATAAAATATATTTGCTAATGAACCAACTAGAAAATGAATAGCTATAGCATTTAAAATTGTAATTGTTCCAATAGTTACCGAGGATGCTGAAAGTTCATGTTCTTTGTTAATTGTATTTCACTCCACATGTTCACTGTATATAAAGAAGGAACATGCTTCCCAAATGGGTAACATCAAAATGGGAAAATTCTTAACTTTGGCTTTCTTTTTCAGCAAACGTGACACTAAATGTCATTTTCATTCATGAAAGAAGAGTTAAGTAAATTACTTTACAAATGGAATTCTCTTTCCTGCTGAATTAAACTTCATTATTTTCTATGCACATGTATTCATTTACATGTGTATATAGATTGATAATTTTAATAACACTTTATGCATCCTTTCACTGAAATAAATCCATTATTTAAGAGTCCTCACGAAAATTGGAGGACATGACAAAAATATACAGTAACAAGACAAAACAGTGCTGACTTAACTTTTATAGCTGCCTCTTCAAAATATAAGCAAGAGGGGTAAATAACAGATTTAAGTTTTTGCCGTTTGGGGACCTGATAAGAGATGGAGAGATGCCACTAAGCCCTCTGAACACCAACTGGAATAATAATAAAGCTGTCTTTCTAAATAGCATGCCTGTACCTGTCAGTAGCTAGTTTATTTGAGTTTTGCACTCCTTTGTTTATATTAGTGCCCCCTCCCTCCTGTGTGCCTCCAGAGTTAAACAAGCAGGTATTTATCTCCAACTTAATCCTGAGCTTTAAAAATATAGACCAAACTCTAAGGTTCTTAAAATTTTCAGTCATATTTATTTATTGCAGAAAAATAATATACAAAGATATTTACAAAACAATCATAAAAATATGAATGCATTTAGACACCGGATCTATTTGCATTTTACCATGGGTCATCAATAAATAAATAGAATGTTGTTTTTTGTATTTTAAGTTTTTTTTTCCCTCAGAGGAAGGATGAAAAAAGGAATTAACTGACTGATTTTGCAAGTCAGTTTGATTCCAGCATTTTTATTTCTAAAGGTGTTCTTAAAATTCCTCTGATTGTTACCATTTTAAAATGGAGAAAGTCCATAATGATGCCTTTCCTTTCAGTGGCTGATTGGCACGACCTCTTGAGAATGCATGCATGAAAAAATAAAAATAAAAACATTCTTCGTCATAAAAAAAAAAAAGGAACACAAACAACTGTTCAAACTTCTATCAGAATGTAGAGGTGTGAGGATGGTGCCGCTGCCCGTCTGGGAATCTCTGTCCACGGGCCTGTCTCGCTTTCTCTTTTAAAAGTGCGCCCCACGCCCTGTTTCTTTGAATTTGGGTTCTGCTCTTCTAATTTCCAAGAAAATCTTTGGCATATATATTTATTTTTAGTTATCCAGCTCCAGAGTCTCTAGACTGTCCATTTTCTCCTTCTCTGGAAACAATGACATCTGCAAAAACCCAAAAGGGGGTAAAGTTGGTTATTGTTTAGGTCTCTGTGGCTGTTTTCTACGACTAGTGAGCACGGCTCTTATCACCACCACCGAGAAATTACGCTGAACAACCTGGAAGGATTTCAGCCCAAGGGCAAGAGGAAGTGGGTGGGCGGAAAGAAGGAGGTGGAATTTGGAAACATCGGTTGTAAAAAGAACTAAAACTTGAAAGCCAAGAGAAAGGGAGGCGCTGGCAACCGTCCTTACCCATGACCCTCGACTCGCAAGGCTTCCCTCCAGCCTGTCACGCACGCTCACCCACACGCACACCTTCACCGGGGCGCATCCCTCACTCCCCAGCCCTACCCAACTGCCTCCGGGGACGCTCGGGGTGCGGTGGCGGTGCCGGGTTGGGTGGGGAGGCTGAGGGGAGAGCGGGAGCGGGGAGGAAGGCGCGGTGGGCGGGGGTCCGCGGCCTGGCCGCCAGTCCCGCCACCTGAGCGCATTAGGGGCGCAGGAGCGCCGGTCCTTACCTAGGTCTCCGGCCCTGCCGAGGGGGTGGGGAGCTCCGCCTGCTAGTGGGACGCGGACATGGACCAGGCCCCCTCCATCCTCCAGACCGAGAAGGCGTAGCTGAGCCTCTCGTGGGCCACATAGCTGCAGCTTGCCATCTTGGAGTCCAGCTCGTCGCTCTGGAGGACCTGGTAGAGGAAGTCGATGTACCTGGCCGCCAACTTGAGGGTCTGGATCTTGCTCAGCTTGTCCGAGGGCAGCGTGGGGATGATCTTCCGCAGCGCGGCGAACGCCTCGTTCAGCGACTGCGTGCGCTGGCGCTCCCGCACGTTGGCCATGACCCGCTGCGTCTGCAGCTCCTCGTAGGACTGCGGGCTCCCGCC